TAGACCCTTTGTCTTAGAATTATCAATTTTACACACACAAGAAAATATAATGATAATTAATAGCTTTAGAATCACAACTTTATCTTCATTATTTCTTCCTACCTGAATTTGACTGGTAATAAACAATGTTTTATACCTCTTACTATCCCTTTTTTATAATATTGCCACCAACGGGTTTTTGCTGGTTTTTGACAACTGAATTAAATTGTTACTTCTCTTTAGGAAGACCACACTCATAATTTTAGAACATGAATAGTTCAAACTGGAGCTTTCACTGTTCCAGGTAGTGGAGGAGGCAAGGAAACTTTGAAGGAAGCAAGCAAAGATTTAGACCTTGGTTAAACATCCTTTGTCTAAAAATCCTTGCTGCCAACTCACTTATATGCTTGTCTCCTATCATAGGCATTGCATTTGGAATTATGTTCATATATCTGAGCTCAAATTCTGGTTTTCTGAGATCTCTGACTATTCATAATGTAGTTTATGACTAGGGATTAGTGTGCAGAACTGGCTTCCACCTTTAACCAGTTAGACTTCCTTGTATGCTGTCATCAGAGACTCCTGTTTACTCCAGTTAATCAAGTCCTTAAATATCTCTAGGGTTTCTCCAACAAAAAGGAAATCAATACCAGGTATTTGTAATAAAACAAATGCTATAAGGTGTTGCCTTTATATAGTCAGAAAAGGATAACTTCTTTGCTTTGTAATTCTGTTCAGAAATGTCAGTTTCCTTCTATTTAGCCATCTTAGCATATAAAATACTTAACTGTTCGCATACTTTTACATAATACATTTTATTTTGTGAATCTGCTAAAGCAGTGGTTTACAAGGTGTTTGGGCTCTCACACTGTTCTGTGAAATCAGAGTGAATTTCTTTTCAGAGTTTTCAATTAAAAAATTGGTTTCAAACCTGTGTGGTTTTCCAAAAAATGTAAAAGCAGTTGTTTGGTCCAAGCTGTCTGGAAGCCTGTATACTGGAGTGTTATGGCCCTGAAAAAAAATTCCTCTTTATTAGGAACCATAAGGAATGACAGTTGCTTAAAACTACAAGTACTTATGAATATCTTGCACTTTAAGAAGCCTAAGGAATCTGTTTCTTTCACTGCCATTGAGAGATTATTCTTCCTATGATTTTCATTACACATTGTGGTTTAAATGAATTCTACGTAAAGACAGGAGGGTCAGTTACTGCCTGCTGTGAGGTTACTTACTGCTCACTTCATGATCTAGTCATCTAAGATTTTGCCTTGCTTCTTAAAACAGCTTCCTTCTGCAAATTAAACAGTTTTAATCTGACTCTAACAACCTACTAAAATGTTCTCCCTCCATGTGTACGTTCCCCCTCCGTGCCTCTCCTCTTTAGAAGGTGGTAGATTTGGTCTCAGTGAAACATTCACTTTGACCTGCTTTATGTAAAATGCAACCAAAAGTTATTAGTACAGGATGATGTCTGGATTCAAAGATGTTCTACATGGATTTTGGGGAGAGGGGAGGAGAGGGCTGCTCTTTTTTTAAAAGGTGCTGGCTGTCTCTTTGTCTACAAAATGTAAAACTTTCCCAACATAGGACAACTAAGAAGGGACATACGTGTTCAAACTTGGCAAAAATGTATTTCAGGTGAGCTGGATGTGAGGCACAAAACTTTATGCATGTCTCTCTCTTACGAGTTTGCATTGGATCACCTAAGGTGTCAACATATCCCACACCTTAAATTATTGCTTTATATTTGAAACAGCTTCTTCCTATCTGTTTTTAAAATAGACAATTTTAAAAAAAAGTGATACCTCTATGCAACTCTGTAAAAATTGACCAACCAGCTCAGTGATCTTTTTAATACAAGCCAAGATCTATAGCCACAACGATCTGTGTCTTTAAAAAGAATCTTTTTGTGCTTTTTCTCAAGTTTATGTACTTCTGATAAACTATATTTATAATCAGAAATATAAAGTCTAGATGGTAGTTTTCCCCAAGTGTTTGGGGATGAGCCTGTTTGTTGCATCGTCTCTAACAACAGAAAATTCCCCAGTAATTTACTGTGTTAGCTAAGCAAGGTGCAAGCTGGTGTGACTTGGTTTAACTTGTAGCAAAAGAAGCTAGTGGGTAATCTGGCAAGAGCATGGAAAGTGGCAATTTTCTCATATATTTAAAACAAAAATCTGAAAGGTTCGGAAAAGAAATTTCACCAAATGTCATATTATATTATTTTCCTGTTAAGGCAAATGAGCAGCCCCACTTCCTGTGGAAGTGCCAGACAACTGGAATGGCAACGCGTGAACATAATGATCTTTGTTAAATGGTGGGCTGCAACTTTCTTCAGAAAACTTCAAATAAAATGCCACAAAATAAATTGTTTGGGGAGAGGGAGTAGGAGCTGAACTTTAACTAACTTTGGATTCAGTTCTGCATAGTCTGAAGTTGTTGAGAGGCTTAATGACCTGGATTTTCATCCACTCTGGCCAGGTATCCAGAGCAAGAAATCCACTAATGGCTATCATAAATCTTAGTGTTAGCGTCAAGTTTTCCCTTCTCAACTTCAATATAAAAACCTTCACTACACCTATCCCTTGGTGTGCACCCTAGCAGGAAGGGTTTTTCTGGGAGCCCTTTTCTGGGAGACCTTTGGTAAAAGGTATTTTTTCATGGCTGACCAAGATTTCAGTGTGTGTGCAAGGCACTAACATCTTGAGGCTTCTTACTGCCTTGAAATGAAAATGCTTCAGTTCAGCTCTGTTATTTTAGGAATAGTTTTAACTACTTATTTTGGTATTGGGTTTGTCTGTCATTTCTCACCTTGTATAATGTCAGAAACTGCTAGTGTCTTGTCTAGGATTTTAGGAACTCTCTTCAGTCTTCTAGCAATACTTTTAATTAACAGGCTGAGTTGTACAGGAGGACCAAACATTAGCAAGAGCTTCCCATTCAATAACAGTAGTGCCAGAACTGGCATAGGCTGTATACTGTGAAACTTGAAGTTTGTCTTCTAGCTCTCTTGCTCTCGCTTCTCCTAAAATGTGATTTTGTAAATGTACTCTGTGTACCTTAAGGTGTTCTGACAGTATGAGAGGTTGTTGTTAAGAAATCCCTTACAAAGAATTCAATATAAACCAATTTAAAGACTCAAATTGAAGGGTGACCTTTTTTTGGGAGAAATAGGCAACCATAATAAAAGGATATAAGAGGATTTGCAGATAACATGAAGTTAGTGTTTGTGAATACCACCCCAAATGCTTATTTGGAACCAATACTTTACTTGAATTTAGGTCACTGGACTCAATTCACAGTATATTTGGTGTTAAATTTAAGTCCATCAGAGAATGTCACTCTTGATCTAATGGATTCTTCATGCTCTGGGGAATCTCGTGTATTTTGTAGTGTTTGTTTTTGTTATCTCTATTTTGTTCTTGTTTTCTCTAATCCTTTTGTGTTTTGATATAAATCTTTCTCTCATTGATCATACAGAGTATGATGCTTGTAGGAAGAGCATGAAAAAATATGCTATTTTGGTCAGCTTACAGGTCAAATTAAGTGGTGAGAAGTACAGAAGGGAGAGCACTAGGTCTGGAAATAATTTGAAGGGATACTGGTAAAAGGGTACTGACCTTTCTCTTGCTGTGTTGAAGACTGAATCAAAACTTGTGCAATATGTGTATGCTTAGTATATAAGCATTTCTACAAGACTGTAATGCTCTTCTCTTCCATGCGTAAAGAATGCTAAGTCCTCTACCTTAAAAATTTTCATTGTGCTGTGTACGCTGTCTTTGTGCTCATGATAAAATCTGGAGTTTAAGTTTAGTATCTCTTTCAAATACACTTCTTCGAGAAATTATGTTTTGACCTTGTAAATTGTGTACCTCCACTGGGTAGGTCAGGAGAGCAGACAGGTTTTATCTGTACATGCTGTTTAGGAAATATTTCACTTAAAATGAATTTTTCAGTAGAATTTATTTTAGTATTGCAGAGAGAGCTTGTATTCAGAAATACCTGCTTGGGTGTTTCTGTACTTATAACACTAGGAAGAGTTTGCTGATTGATTTATAACCAGCTATTTATTTGAAGAAAAAAAAAAAAGAAAAAAATTATTAAAAAGTTATACAATGTTTTATACCTGAAATAACTTGAAAGTTCTTTATTTAGAATCAGAGTTTTGGTGCTTCTCTCTCTCTTTTAAAAAATTCTTTTTTTTAAAAATTCATTATTTGGCTAGTACATATTCCCATTTTGTCTGTGAAAAGCACTGCATTTTGTGTGAAATGCAGAATAATAAAGGGAAAACATGGCTTAACCTAAACCCTACAGAGTTTGTCTTTGATTTAAATTAAAATTGGTTCAAGTCCACTGGAAGAAGAAATTTGAAATGTCCTGTGATTTAACACATCGACAAATTTGGGGGTTCAAATATATTCCCTGCATCTTGTTAAAAACTACAGTGCATCTGATACCTCTTACAGTATGGTATTAATTATTAAAGGCTCGTGTCCTAGGCTCATCCACTAGTAATTGTATTTGACCTTTCTCGCTCAAAGAAGTCTTGCCTTGAGGCACTCTGAGTCTCCCAGTGGGCTCAGGGTTGGAACTTGCTTTTGAACATGCTAAATGCACCTTTTTGTGGGGGCACAAGAAAGCTCTCCTTCTGCTTCATGTGTGCTGTCCACCCCGAATTCATTAGAGCCAGTTTGGGAAGGTCCGCCAGGGCCCCAGCTCCTTCTTCCCTGCCCTGCTCCGCTGTCTTTGTTGTAAAAATACCTCTGCAGCAGCAATGGGCAGGCAAAGGGCCCGAGCAGCACAGATAGATGGCTGTCAGGTTTTGCCATGTGTCCTGGCACCCTTGGACCCAGGGTAGGACTGGCAGTGACTCAGTGCTGTAACTTCACTGCCTTCTATTTAAAGACTGCCCTGAGTCAGAAGTAAGAGCTGCTGGGGATGACAGTTGCTTCAGGCAACCCTGGGGAGGACAGGGTTGGGGGTAAAAATCACCAGCGACAGCCTGAGCTGGGAAGGGCATGGAGGGGTACCACAGCACTGAGCGTGACAGGGCATCTGAGACCTTGTCCTTCATAGAGGATGAAGAAGAGGAGGAGGCTGTGGACCCAGAGGAAGCGGAGGAGCTGACTAACAGGTACTGCCTCCCCCAGGGACCCACAGCCTCAAGGGAAGCTGGCACCTTCCTCTCAAAGCACCAGCCCCGGGGGGGATGCTAGGATTGGGGCCCAGCACTGGGTTTAGTGCATTTTCCTCCCTTCCCTTCCCCGGTTGCCACAGATAAAAAGTGTGGGAAGGTGAGGTGTGCGTGTGCGTGTGTGTGTGTGTTTTGGATGGGTATGGTTGTAATTAAGTTTTGTGCATTAAGCATCTGCCCTGAGTTCCCTGAAAGCTTTTCTATTTAAAGATCCTCTGGCATGCCAGCTCAAGTGGCATCTCCCTCTGCTCCTCCCTTTCTGGCTGACTCTTTGTCACATATCGATCTTAAATGCTCTGCAGATTTACCTGTCAGGGAGAAAATGGTCAAAGAATATAATGGCGCACTGAAATTTGTTCCTTTTTACTGCCCTTTCTTCCTTTCCACTTATCCCTCCCTCTTCATTCTCTTCTTCCCCAAAAAGGAAAAACTTGTTCCACGCACTCACCACCGCTGGTCAGGATTTGTGTAGCTGATTTTTTGGGTGGAATGAGGAATATTTTATCACTTTGATTTTTTTTCTTAATAACTGTTGTCCTAATATTGCATTCCTACTGTCAGGAAAATAACAAGAGAGACAGCGGCCCAGCACCCAGTGCGTGGCACTGGTCCTGTGCAGGATGTGGAGGCATCTGCAATTCGATCCACGTTTACAGACTCCTCTGACCATGCCAACGCTGTTGGTTTCAAAAAGAGACCATGAGGCCTGAGAGTCCACCTGCACATATTGGGTCGCAAGATTTCTTCCTTGTCTTGAGTAAGGCCTATCAGTTTTGGGTGGATACTGTAGGAAGAACCAAAAACATTAATGTTGACAATTTAAGGTATTTTCAGAAACCACGTTTTTAAGAAATTTGGGTCATACAGTTCCTAAAACCTAAGTGCTGTGGAGCCATCCTGTGTTTACAAACCTCTCCAAGTATATCACAGTTCAAAGCACTTTCTAACTTTGCTGATGGTCACTGGAAGACGGTAAGATGGCAGAACAGAGGTGAGGGGACTCTGCAGCCTAACCCACCCTGAGTGCTGTGGGAATGAAATTCAAATGGAAACGTAGCCCAGGACTGTAGAAAAACCTCCTTGCAGTGGAAATGGAGAGCTAGTTTTCCAAAGAAGTAGGAGGACACCCCCGGTGTGTAACGCTGCTTTTCTCCTGAGGCAGATGTTGATTCTCCAGTCCCATACTGGCAGAGAGAGGGGTTATGTGACTATAAATGTTACTTGTGCATGGATGTAGCTGCAATCCTACAAGAAAACAAGCTGAAGTCAGTGGAGTGGAGCTACTCACTGCAGACAGCTAAAACACAACTGACTGGATATTTTTTAATGCAATCTGCTAGTAACGCAATGGCTAATAATAAAACTCAAATTGTAAAACATAAGTGGGAATGGCTAACTTTTCCCTTAAAGGGAGGGAAATACATGTAGCCTCGCAGTTATTTACTGCTTGTGCTGGGAGGATGGCTTCTCCACAGGTGCCTTTTAGTAGCTCCCTGCAGCTGATCTTGCTTCTGGCTGGCAGCCTCCGCAATGCAAACTTGGGCATTGCATCTCACCATTTAATTAAATCACAGCAATCATTCCCTTTAGCTCTCAGTTATATTAAGAATTGCAGAGTCTATCTCTATCCTTAACCATCTTACTAATAAGAGAGGTCAAAGTCTAACAGAGAAGCTTTTAACAGCTGTGCTCAGTGGTAACTGAGTATGTTTAACTCCATTTGATTAGTTTAATTAGGCTAATGGAGATGTAAAATTTTGGGTTTGGCACAGGTATGGTAACTGCACTGAGTGCTCAGAAATAGCTTAGTAAAGTTAAATAAAACTGACTCTTTAACAGCTTAAATTTTGTTGTTGCAAATGTCAGTGTGGTTGTTGAGCTTAAGGCCTTCTCCTGTGCTTAGTGCCTGGGCAGAACTCCTGAGAGGTGCTGGCTAAGCAAGAACAGCTGGGCTGAGCCCCTGAGACATACTTACTCAGTCTGTAAGCTAATTATTTGTTGACAAACAGGTTTTCAAGCCCCTGTTGCAGAACAGAATTTTTTTGTGCTTTGAAAATGTAGCTTAGAGGAGATGTAACCAATATGCAAACTTAGCTGAAGACAGCCTGTCCTGGACTCTGCTGTCATTGATTTATTTTTAACAACCCCAAGCTCTCTGCTGCTTTCTTCTTCCTCCTCTGCATGCAGTTGAACAGCACCTGGTTGTGCAACGTTGCAGTCAGTGGGAGCTCCTTCTATTTCCATCTTTCAAGCATGCTAAATATCCTCATTCCTATTTTATAAAAGAGTTAGGCAGCAAGATGGCTGGCCCAAGGTCAGCAAGCACTCATGCGACAGAAGCAGAAGAGTCCTGGTGTTCCCCCGGGACCCTACTCCCTTCACGCTACCCCCCTGAGCCCTGACTGACCTGTTCCACTTCCACACCAGTCCCTCTTGTAGCAGCCATGGAGCCTGGCGTGGCTTTTGCCGCAGTTTTCACCATGCAGCTGAGCAGCCTGGCATCTGCAACCTGCTCTTCCCCACCAAGCATGAGCGGGCACCTGCATACAGGGCTCCGGTGGCATGTCAGGGTTAGGTTTGTTTTCTTCCCATCAGCTCTCAGGCCCCCTCATGTTACTGACAGCGCTTCTGAGGACTAACAGAAAATAGTGCCTGCCCAATGGGAACTGCTTTCCTATAGGGGATGTGCCACTTAATTCATAAGTATCCTCAGTGTGTTCAATAAAATCCCAAAAGCTTCGGCAGAGTTTATGACTTGCCCCAAAATTATGATGCATGCACATAAAAAGTAAAGTTCAGGTTTCACATCTTTATTACTCTTTTTAATGTAATCTTTAAATAATTTGGTTTCCTAACACAGGTTTTTATGCAAGTAATGAGACTAACATGAGGCATCGGAACCTATTATAAAGATGGCATAAGACATCATGCCCTTGTCAGCACAAATAACCCACTGATCTTCAGAGAGTTCATGCAATATTTTCTTGCCTTTGGGCATTTTACTATCTGAGATTGACAGATTGTGGCAGCTGTCTTTTGTTTCTAGGTCCACGTAGAATTAATCATCTAAACAGGGAAAATATTTTAAAAGCACATATTGTGTATTTTAAGGCAAACATGAGTATGAAGTTAATAGGTTTTAATTTTTGTGATAACTGAGAGATTAAAGTCTAGCTATAGGAAGATAGTTTACTGGTTAACTGGTTTATGTACCTGCTGGAATATCTGAGTCTCTAACAACTACGTGACACGTGAGCTGCTGTTATACGGTTCTGTCTCTCAGACTATTCCTGGCTGATTTCCTTTTGCAGTGGGAGGGTCTCAGAATGTGTCTATATGCAGGGCTTACCTAAAAATGGCTCTGCAGCCGATTTATATGTGTTTCCATGTAGCTGGTTTGCCTGGAATGAGTATGGAGCTGTTTTTATCTATTCATTTAGTGATGACCTAAGAGCAGTAAATGGGGAGAAAGTCCTGGAGTTCTGGATTTTTTTTTTTTTTTTTTTTTAATGAAGAGGTCCTCCCACGAGAAGATTAGAGATGTGGAAGCTTTAGAGCCAAGTCTAGCTTAGGATGAGTGGTGAAATGGATGAAAGGGGAAGCAAAGTGGAGAAGGAGGCTGCCTGCCACCCAGGGAATGCTGCATTATCCAGGAGAGTGAAGGAGTTGAATGATAGCAAATGGGATGGTGGGAGAGAAGGGGGTGGAAAGGGGAGCACTGGGGATTTGTCTTCCCAAGAAAAAGTTTGGCATACCCTCCCCAAAGCAAAGTAAGAAAGACGTGGGGAAAGGGTGCGTGATTTTTAGTTTCCTAATCAGGCAGCGCCTGACTTGGGCCGGTGTGGAAGGGGCTGACAGGGCCGTTTGTCCACCGCCGGCTGCAGGCGCGTGTGCGCGGGGAAGGCTAGAGCGGCGGGAAGCAGAGGCTTTCCAGCACCCTGCACGAGCCATTTCGAGCGCCGCGGGGCGGAGGCTCGAGTTACAGGGCGCCGGGAGCAGCCGAATGGGGCGAAGCATCGAGGCGGGGGCGTTGCAGTGGGGAGCGGCTCAGCTGGGGACGCTACCATGCCTCCTGGCCCCTGCCGGTGGCCGCCGCAACCGAGAAAAATACTTCACTCCGTGTTTTCAAGTTGTGGGTGCTGGCTGAGGACAAAGCGAGTCAAAGTACGTACCTTAGGGCATGACTGTTTCTGAAGGACTGATATTTAAGCACAAAATAATTTTCAGTTAATTTTTGGCAAAGAGGCCAAATGAAAATCTGTATTGCAGGTACTGGAGAAGTTTTGCACTATGAGTATAAATGAAGCCTATGAAAAGCCTTCCTGTGGCTTTTGTTTTCTGTCAAAGGGTGTGGAGGAAGGTTAAATCGATTGGCTTTTCACCCTTCTTGTTTTGTTTCTCTTCAGCCTTTTATAGAATATTAACTGAGTCCTTGATAAAGCTCTAGATTGCAGTTTGGATTTGAAATAACACTTGGACTTTGAGAAGTTCCCTATTAGGTCTCAACAAAGTGATTAAATCGCTGTGTAAAAGGAAGTCTCCCACCCAGACCAAAGTGTTTGTTCAATACCTGTGCTCCTTCCACAACCTGTATGGTAGAGAATCCAAAATGCAAGAGCAATGCAGACCTCTGGGGCACAGAGGTGCTGCGGTTTCTCAAGCAGCACCTGAAGCTGCAACCGGAAACGCCACTGGGCCATGCCACGACCTGACGTCTGGAAAAGAGACCAGCACCACAGTGGGTTGTATCACTTCTCAGGCATTTGCAAGCATCAGGGATGGAACAAAATGTCTGAGACTGGCCCAACTCCTGGCTCCCAGCAACTCTTAATAAAAATCAGTTTTGTAGCAGAAAGCGAGTAGCTGTCTTATTGCTTTTAGATAATTATTCATTTGAATTTGGACAGATGCATGAGCCACTGTGTTGCCAGAAGGGGCATCATTAACACTGAAGGAAGTTATCAGCAGGTTAACAAGTGAAAGGCTAGGTTTAAATTAGTGGGTTTCTGTAGCTCCTAATTCTCTTACCCTGAAGAAGGAGATGGATGAACTATAGCCCTAGGAAATGCAGAGCAATAGGCAGAGACCTTGCTGAGCATACTGGTCACTGTAGGGGAAAAGGAGCAGCATGGTAAAGGCAAAAACTACAGGAATGTACAGAACAAAAACACAAACACAGAAAAAGAAAATATTTCCTTCAACTGGGAAGGCAAGTTGGCCAATACCAATTTTTTTACCCCCCTGCCCTGTGTCTGCAGGGTTCAGGTAGGAGCCTTTAGGGGATGAGAGATCTTTTCAGTGCAGGCTATTGCCACAGCTTGACATCTCAGTCTGGGTTGTTTTCAGCTTGCAAGGTGTCATGCAGCAAACAACAGCAAATTTTGTTGATACCAGGAGTTGATACCAAGGTCTGATGTGAAGAGGATGAAGGGAGGGTCTGGAGGATTTTAGAAAGCTGATGGGCTGGCTATGCTTCTCTGCAATGATGGTGGTGTAGTACAGTACTCAGCATGTCTGAACACGACTGCTCCAGCAGCTGCGGAGGTGAAAACTCTTCCCTGGTAAGATACGTAAGTGAATGTGTGCCCAGCCTGCTGGGCTGGACTAGAAACCTGAAATCCCAGCAGATGCAGAATGGAAGTCGTAGTGAGAAGCAGAGGACTGTGAGAAGCAGAAGGAGGCGATAAAATCTGGTTTTTGAGCTATTATGACAGGAAGCACAAAAAGGTTGTCAGTGTCTTCAAGAATTATAAAAGGTTTGAGCCAGAAAACAAGGCAGCACTGGCTTTTGTCCCCGAATGTCAGTGGTTTCATACCTGCATTTATGGAGCCGAAACATTACGAACGTCTTTTTGCAATGGCAGACACTTCCTCTGACTAGAGAGGGGTCTTTCAGCTACTACTGTGCAGTGTACAAATTGTATACAAAACTAGGGCAGCATTTGGAAGTATATTGGGAGAAAATGCCTGATTTCTGTGTCTTTCATTCTGGCCTTAAAAATATAAAGCACCAGCTCATTGCACTGTAGAGAAATATGGACTGTGACTGCAACTTTGGATATGAGACAATGACGTGAATAATTCAAGCTTTTTGCATAGGCGGGGCCAGGGCAGCCCATTCTTATTCACTAATATCAGCTGAAGTGGGAGTGCTGCTCTGTTCTGCAAGGGGTTTTATTTAACACCAGGTAGAAAATTAGGCATCTGTTATTGTGGACTCAAATAAGCCCTGAAAGCTTCCTCAGTACTAATGCTATTGATTTTTTTATTTTATTTTTTTGCTATGCCCAAGTCAACCTAATGCCAAGCCAACTGGCAAAGGAAAAGCTAGCAGCAAGGTTGGTATAGATTTGTTTGCTTTGTCTTTTCTGCTGACCTGTAAATCTTACCTTATAGAGCTAGTCTTGCTAGAGAGTACTACGCCTAGTCTGTAGTACAGATAAACAGCTGGAAATGCTGGGGTTTTGTTTTTTGTTTGGAGGCTGCGTGTTTGGGGTTTTTGGCTAAGACGTGATTATTTAATATTGCACTGTCAGTCTCGCACTGAATTGTGGGATTTAGTCCAAGCTGTCCTGCTGGGCACAGTCTCCAGTCCAGCCCAGTCACCACAACTGGCTCTAAGTCCCATCACTGGGCTTCGATATCACATTATCCCACCACTGCCTGGTCAGGCTGTTGTCCCACAGGATGACTTCAGTCTTCAGTTAGCACCGAGCACATCAGAGGTGAGATGGTCCATGCATCAGTCTGCATGGACCTCAGTGTGGGCCAGCCCGGTGCAGCCCTTCTTGTGCTGTGCTGTGCTCTGGAGAGCAAATTCATGGAAAAGGCCAGCACTGCTAGTATCAGAATTACCTTTTTGTTTCCAATAGGTACTGAGCAGTTTTGCTGAATGCCCTTTACAAAAATGTTACGGTTAGGAGAGTTTTTGCTTGATGGAGAGATTATGGCCCTCTCAGGATTTCCTCTTCTCCTTGTCGCAGGAGAAGAGTCAGAGATCACTCAGATCTGATCTAGTAGTTAGTTTATTGGGTTCTAATCAATAAATTTAGGTAGGTAAAGTATTTAATAAGTACAGATGGATTGGCAGTCAATACTATTTACTACACTTAAAGTTAGTATGGTATACAAAGATTATTGCATAAGCTTACTATACGTATCTTAAATGTTACATGCATGCAAAAAATGTCACTTACCAAACCATCGATGCCGGGTGTCAGGTAAGGGATCTCTCAGCCTCAAGGGGTAACCTTGAGAGGCATCCCTACTCAAGGGAAGATCACCGCTGCACAGCCAGCTGCTATGGAGGGAGAGCTCAATGGACCCTGATGGCTGCAGATATTTATAGCGTAAAGTGGTTGATTCGTAGTCAGATTTTCTGCTGTGTTCATGCAGTTTCGACTGCTTATCAGCCCAGTCTCCAGCCAAACCATTTTTTTTTGTTTGGTGCTGGGTTCTTGCTGACAGCCTCACACAGTAGGATTAACTTTGGTTAGGCCTACTTGCTGAGCATCTGCTTGGACCAAAATTCAGTTAGTTCAAACAGGAGGAGTGCATCCGTCACACTCCTTCAAAGACCTCTGCCTTCTGCCACATGCTCGGCACCCTCCGGAGCGGTGTCGACTGCTCTTCAGGGGTGTCCCCCCACCTCTGCAACCTGCAGGCGTCTCTGGCACCCACGTGGTGCTGGGTCTC